CACAGGCCTCTCTCTCCCCTCCACTCGGAGTCTCTTGACCCCTTATTTTCCTCCCCAGCCCCTTTCCTTGCCATCCCTCCCCTTTCTCTTCCTGATACCCCTTGGCTTTGTGATTCCCCCACCTTGCTGCTTCGATCGCTCCCAGCCTCTCGCCTTGCCGCGTCTCCCTGACCTCTCTCTTTGGGTCACTTTGGGACTCACCAGGCCCCACGGCAGGCGTTCTGTGACCAGCCACGGCAGCCATTTTGTGGTGGTGCCCAACACAGATTCCCGAATGTGGCGCCCTGTCCAAAAAGGTGGGAGACCCCAGCTTGTTCCTTCTCGGAGGAGCAAAATAACATGCAACGTACAGGATGTTTTATAGAGAGCTGTCGTAAGAATGGCCTCCGGTTGTGTTTCAGAGCTGGGTACCTTTCGGTTTGTCACACCGATCCGCAATATCGGCTCGGAATCAGTTTCTTGTCAGGGCAAACAGGTTTATTTACAATTGAATGCATGGATCCATGGGTGCCCAAAATAGGAACACCTCGTGTCAATTTCCTTAGGGTTATATAGAATACACAAAAGGGGAGTGAATACAATACACAGGAAGGTGATTGGATACTTTGATATGGATAGGAAAGTGATTGGATACACGTCACGGCACCATAAAGAAAAGTTACGTTTCACTCTAATTAGATGCCTTTGACAAGTCTTCTAAACTAAAGTTATCTTGAACAGGCCTGCCAGAAAAGGTTACATTTGTGAACTTTATAGGGTCAAGGAGGCACCTTGGCAAACCCATAAAATGCAAAGATAGCAACTGACCATTCCCCACTAACGGAGCGGGGTCATTTGGTCTTCACCACCAGACACGGAGGCAGCCTTTGTGATCTGTTTATGGCAAGGCAGTGAGGCGGGGTAATATCCCTTGTTTTTCTGTATACAGGCTCGAAACATTAAAAGGACATTCGAAGGGTGATGACGTGCTCTGAGGAAATGCTCAGATTTTCTATATTGTGTTGGGCAACATACGACTCTCGAGATACTTTTTGGACTGTGCGTCCATCTTTCGCCATCGTTCATACTGGCTGGGACTCCTGGCACCCTTCACTAAATCAGCATTTTTCATCTTTTCTGCAAGATCTGAGGCATGATACAGCTAGAAAACTTACTTCAAAGAAAGATTTGTCACTGCTCAAGAACATGATGCATTTAAAAGTGGGGTTTGAGGCTCAAAATTTTTCAGAATTTGGCTCTGTTGTCTCAGCAGTTTTCTCAATGGCCAACGACAAAGCTGTGGGCTCCTTAGATGTGAAGTCCTGAACATCCTGAAATGCCTTTCAAGAATCGTTCGCGTTTCATCCCCGATGATTTCCCCTTCTTTTCTCCGAGGGTTTGGGAAGCCACATGCTCAAGCAAGGCAATGCTACTTTTCCTGATTGCTGTGCACGGGTGTGAAATCTGGGCAGCGAGGAAAGCTGGGTGCATTCAAAACATGGCGCTGGAGGAGTTTTGCACAGAGCCTGGGCTGGCAGAAAGAAGAAGTGGGTTCTTGATCCAATCCAGCCAGAATTTTCCCTGGAAGCAAAAATGACGACACGGAGGCTGCCGTACTTTGGCCACATCACGAGAAGGCAAAACTCCAGGGAGAGGAGCAAGTCAAAGGCAGAAGGGAAGGAAGGCCGAATAAGAGATGGGTTGGCTCCATCCGGGAAGTCGCAGCCTTGAATTTAGAAGGGCTGAGCAGGGCTGCCCAGGGCAGGATGCCTGGAGGGCTTGCATCCCCAAATTGTGCCAATCCTTTGAATGCCTCACTGCCACCGCATGCTTTCCCTTCCCAGCTCCACGGGGAAAAGCAGCTGTTCCCATGACCTCCAGCCCCGCAGCCAGTGTGGTGTGGTGCTTAGAATGGGACGGGGACTCAGGGGATCCGGGTTCCAGCCCCTGCTCAGCCAGGAAGCTCCTTCAGTGACTTTGGGCCAGGCATTCATGCTCTGTCTAACCTACTCCACAGGGTTGTTGTGAAGATAAGGAGATGCCGAGGCATGTGGTGATGGCATATAAAAGTTTTAAATAAATAAATAATAAAATAATAATAAATAATAAAAGGGAACCTTGTAAGCCCCTGGGGTTCCTTGCCAGCAGAAGAGAGGTAGGGTATAAATGTAATATCCTAATAGTATTATTAATAATAATTAAAGTACGTACAATCTGATGCGTTGCTCTCTGGGAGTGAATGTTTGAAAAGCTTCAAGGTTATCTGGTTCTGCTTCTCTCCCTGGAAGAGACCAGTACTGAAGTCTGCCTGCCTGTCGTTTTTACAGGCATCATGAAGGCTTGTTTTTAACCCACCTGTTAAGAACCCCGTTCCATGCCTCCTTCGACAGAGAAGATCCTACAACTCCAGGAACATCCCCACCAGCGCTGCCAGATGCTTTCTCACATGCACGGGATCACGCCAAAAGTCTGTTTCTGGTTTGCTGGACTGCTTACCTGCTTGATGGAATGTGAGCCCGTCATCAGAAGTTTTCACAGGGCAAAGATGGCTGCCCTGCCCAAGATAAGATGGTTCCTCTTGGCGAGCCTGGGATTTTGCTAATGCTGGAGGCTCGAGCTTCCGTTAGACTTAAAGCAAGAGGGGGCAAGAGTCTCTGTTCTCCAAGCCAGCGCGAGGCTGCCCTTGAAAATGGATCGGAGGCTTCAGTTTGTTCAAACTAGGGCTGCGAGGAGGCTCATGGGGACAGGGAGACAAGAACGTGTACCCCAGTCCTCCACCATCCACATCAGCTGCCAGCTGGAGCTTGGGCCCGATTTAAGTGTTGACATTAGCATTTAAAGCCCCAAATGGTCTGGGACCAGAACATCTGAAGGAATGCCTCCTTCCATAAATGCCATCCATACCCAAAGATCATCATGGGATGTCCTTCTCCGACAGTCCGCCCTAAAAGATGGAAGGAGGGTGGGTACAAGGGGGAAGCGCCTTTTCAATTGAGGCACCCCATTCACGGAACCAGCACCCCAAAGAATTGCGCCTGGCTTTTTACTGTTTTTGGTGCCAGGCAAGCCCCTTTTTATTTCCCGAGATTTTAATAGCTAAGTTTTGTGCAGAGTGTTATGTTTTATATGGTATTTTATCTTGGATTGCTGGTTGCCCCCTGCCCGGGTTTGTTGTGGATGCTTGTTATGGATCATGCATGGGGTTCTCTTGGGTTTATTGTTGGGATTGTATTTGAAATATTGTGTTTGGTTCATATGTTAGTTTTTAGGTTGGGATTGTATGTGCTTTTGTTGTTTTAATTTATTGTAAACTGTTTGAGAGAGTCCTTCAGCTGATGAATAGTATAAAAATATTCTATAGACTAAATAAATAATATCGGGGTGGGGCAAGGAGACCTGCGTTTCCTCCCATCCCACAATGCACCAGGAAGCAGGGCAGATGTACTTCTCTCCCTGGCAACCTGGAGCACCACCTCCTCCTCACTCAGGGGGCACAAAGCTGAAAGACCTGGTCTGCAGCTCATGGGAACCCATCATGAGTTAATTAACCCTGGAGGCACTGAAGCACTGTGTCATCCACCATTAAGAATATGCAGTCCCCAGACGGGCCTTGCCGTGTGGTGTGAACCCAGCCGGGAGGGTTAAACAACCCTTGCAGAACCCACACTCTCTTCTAGGGCTGGGGGCGCTCTTTGAAATAGGGAAGCTGTGACCTTCCCAGTGGAGGAAGACTCCATTCACCCATTTAGTGGAGCGGACTGTAGTTGCTTAATGGTGGTTTTTTTTGTGAGGCGGAAGATTCTCCTGCTTTGTAGGCTGATGAACCCACTGTCTGGTACAACCTTGTCTGTCTGACTGGTAGATGTTCTCCAAGTTCTTGGAACTTCACCTCCCCAGCCCTCTTTCTGGCAGGTGGGTCAGCTTGTCCCAGGGACACCATGGTGGGGAACCCCAGATGGAGATCTGCCGCAGACTAAAAGGCCAGGAAGACCTCCAGGGATCTATCAAGACTGGAGTGGTCAACCTCGACCCTCCAGCATCTATGTTGGCCTCTAACTCCCGTCAGACCTAGCCAGCACAGCCCATGACTGAGGGAGCATGGGAGTTGTAGGCCAGCACATTTGGTTGGCTACCAATTGACAACCTCTGCTTTTGGTGAAGGACGGATGAATCTGCTGTTTCTGGTTTCTCTGTTTCCCACCCCCAACCCCCAATCTTCAGTTTATTCTGTTACGTTTCCACATCCATTTGGGTCTCTCCCACCCCCTCCAAAGGTACACAAACACTCACAGGCATTGCATGTGTGCGTTTTCCTAATACACACCTTTTAACACAATTTTGCATTTATATACACGTTTAATATTCATGTTGTTCCAAGCAGTTTCCCTTCCTATCGTGTTTTTTATGTCTACCCCCATTCCTATATGCATTTGCGTGCGCATCTTTTCCTAATATTTGCATGTTTGCATGCATTCTTTGGAGAGAGAAAGCCATCACAAACTTCCGAGTTGCGCAAGTACACGGATAGCTGTGTTTTGATTTGCATATTGATTCCCGGTCTACACCTTGCAAACCAGACACTCTTCCTTGTTTACTTTTGAAACAGAGGTTTCAAAGGTAAATTCGACAGACATAGCCCTGGCAGTCCAGTGGAGTGAGAACAGGAAAATAATGATCATAAAAAATTAGAAACTCAAGCGAAGTAGCTTTAATTGGGACCTGCGTCATGGAAACTGAACAACCTTCTCCCCCCCCCTCTCGTTTCTCGTAAGATTCCCAGACACGAGTTCCATTTAGCGCAGGTGCCACAGAGAGCGGACTGAGAAGAAAAAAAGAAAGAAAGAAAGAAGGACCGATGTTAAATAGCTTTAAGGGTCAGAAAATATACAGCGGTATATAATATAGTACAGCAGACAGTTCTGTCTCTGGCGGCTCGAGGAAAGGAAGGCCGGACCCGACGTCTCCTCCCTTCGTGGCCTGCCTCAGCTTCCCCCTCGCCCCCCCCGCCTCCCCCGCCCCCTTCACTTTCTCCGGCCAATTTGAGCCATCAGCTGGGCGTTGGCGGCCGCTTTGGCTCGCAGGTTCTTGGCTTTTGCAATGTCGAACAGGATGTTCATGATGGTGGTTGGGACATCGAGGGAGAGCGTGAACTTGGTGCGCCGGTCGCTTTTGGCTTGCTCTTGCTGGGCCTTTCCCTGCGCCTGGGCAAGGGACTTAAAGCGGGTGACCCCCGGGAACGTCCGTTTCCCCTTCTCTTCCTCCTCCTTCACCCTGGCTTCCTCTTCCTCACCCCCAGAGGTGCTTTCAGCCCCGGCGGGGAACCGGAAGCTCCGCTTCTCCAGCGGGGAATTCTCACTGGCGGGGCCCCCCCTGGCCCCCGAGAGGGCGGCGCTGAGGCAGCTGAGGAGGGAGTCGGCCTTGTGTAGCTGCAGCGGGAGCCCTGGTCTGGAGGCACACAGGACCAGGAGCAGCAGCAGGTATCTGGGATGCGCCATGGCCGTCTGGTCCCCTCGGTGCCTCTGGAGAAGGAGAGAAGCGGAGTCAGTTCGGCGAACCCGGAACAGCAGGGAAGACGGCGGTCCCCGCGAGGACGCAAACGCGAGGCGTCCGTGGAGACGCGCTGTCACGGAGCCATTACCAGCCCGTTCTATCGCACAGCCGCCAAAAACATGAAATACGACTCATCACCGCACCGAATAACACCGAAACACCTATTTTTGAAATCCCTGCCGCAGCCTAACAGGGCAGCAAATGTTCCCTTTAAGTGGATCCATTATCTTGTTATCTGTGCTAGTGGGAAGTCGGTACAGCCTTTGATTGCAGAAAACTGGAGGAGTAATGAGATGCACTTAGGTGTTTTCGGGCTGGGGGAGAGATTCCTTCGCCGGGCAGCCGAACCAGGGTTCTCGCGGCTATGTGCCTCCACCTGGTGGACGCCGCCTGGCACCGCGGAAGAGATCTGCCGGCCGCGAAGCCTGGCTCCCACATGCCGTGTCCTCAGCGCCACTGAGGTTTCTGCTGCGCTTTGCAGTGGGGCCTTTGCTCTAGATGGCTGCTTTCAGCTTTCTGCGCTCAGTGCCAACGAAGGAAGGAGGGAAGGACGGAAGGAAGTTGGGGGGCCAAAGGCGAGTGACAGAAGCCTTCGGCCCCCGAGACCAAGAGGGGAGGGAGGGAAGACAGGCAGGGTGGTTCTGCCGCCTGCTGCCACTGGTTTTGCCCGCAGGATTTGGCACCTGGGATGCCAAAAATCCTCTGACTGAGCCTGAAGAAAATATCCGCTTGCATCCATGGCACTGAGTGCCGGGGGTCTCTCTGCTTCTATTCTGCCTCGGGTAACCCTGACCCATGCCTGGCAGGCCGCCTAGCCGGGAGAAGCGCTTGTTCTCTGTGTTTCTTTGCGGCAGTCCCACCATTCTGGGCTTTGCGTTTCTTTTTGCCTCCCGTTTGTTTCAGAGGGAGGGGACCCACTCCCTCCTGGTGTGGGTCGTGCGCCAAATTTGAGCCCAAATCAACCTGTTTGCACATAGATTTGAAAGTGCAAATTTAGGGAAGTTTGCATTAAAAGGTCGACAGAGCAAACGTCCCCCATTTTAATCTGATCATGGAAATATCAATTGCTCTTTTCAATTAATTTGTGTGTGGGGTGTGTATGTTTTTAAAAAGCTTTAATTTTTTAAATGACTGAATTAATTAATTAGCCTATGGCCTTCTGGACTAGCAGGCACCGCTGGGCTTCTCCTCCAGGAATTTGTCTGCCCCCTTTGGGAGCCGCCCAGGTCGGTGGCCACCCGCCATGTGAGGGGCCATCCTGTGACCAGGAAATTCTAGAATGTGGCTGAGAACCGCTCCACACCTGCTCTGCTCCTCGTCGGGCTCTTCTTGGGGCCTCCCTTCCCGCTCCGCATCGTCGCAATTAAACTGTGCCGTGTCTCGGAGCGGGGCAGGAGAGCAAGGTCACCAAGAGCTTAGAAGGAGCCCTGCTGGTCCGGCCAGGCCAGCACTCTGTCTGCCCAGGGGCCACCCAGCGCCCACAGAATCCTCCCAGCAGGATACGAGACCATCACCCATGTTCCCCGGCAAGTGCTGTATGCGGGCACATGGATAGCCTGCTCCTCCGGGCATTAACCCAGGAGCCACTTCTTAAGGTCTCCCATCCCTATCTGCATCATCACAACTGAGCTATAGAACATAGAAAAAACATAGAAACAGAGCAAGTCAGAAGGGGCCTCCTGGGCCATCTAGTCTGACCTCCGGCACCAGCCGGCTCCGCTCACGACATGCCCACCATGTGCATGTCCAGCCTATCCTTGGACACCCGCACCGGTGGGGCCTCAACCACCTCCTGTGGAAGCCCCTTCCACACCCTCGGGGTCCTGACTGTCAGGAAGTGCTCCCTGGCATCCACTTTGAACCTCAGTTCCCTGAGCTTTGCTGCACTGGAACGCATCCTGCCCTCCACCAGAGGGGACGAACGGTCACGAGCCATCCCTCTCTGGCTCCCCCTATCTATGCCCTGTCTTGGAGGATCAACCAGAACACCGAAAGAGCCGTGCTGGATGAGACCCCGGTCCAGCCAGGCCCGCCTTGTCCACCCAGGGCGAGCCAGTGCCCGCAGGACCCTTCGAGCAGGATGTGAGGCCACTGGCACCCCCCCGCCCATGTCCCCCGGCAACCGCTGCATGCAGGCATGGCCCTGAGTCGCCAGGGCTCGCAATGACGACGCTCCTGCAAACGGGCCCTCCAGCCTTTGTGGGCGTCCTTCCACCCGCAGCCGTGCCTTGGAAAACCAGCCCAGCCGAAAGGAGCCTGCGGGAGCTCGTGAAGCAAGGGCTGAGCAGCCAGGAACCTTCCCTTGCCTCACACGCAGCACGGACGACGTGAAGAGCTGTGGGACGAGCTGCGGAAGAGGGATTTCGCCTGTGGGGTGGCTGTGTGGGGCTCAGTCTTTGGGGGGGGGGGTGCCACATCAAGGTGGGGCTCACTCTCCAGGAACACAGGCCAAGCGGACTGGAGTCTCGGGGGCCGATCTGATGGATTCCCAGAATGGATTCCTCACACTGGGAACCCACTGCCCCATGATCTGCCCGTCCCCAGAGGGCCGTGCCTCCAGCCCCTTGGTCACCGTGTGTCCCCTTCTCCTGGGGCTTCTTCCTTTGCCTTCCGATGGGGGAATCTGCAACCCCGAAAGGACACTTGGAAGGGGGAAAGGAGGAGAATCCAGCCTGAGTGGAGCACAGGCAAGGGGACACCTAGCAGCTGCCCCGCCGGAGGGAAAACGCTTCTCCACCTGCAGCACCTTCTTTCTGAGGTGCGGTGACAACCCCCCTGGGTGTCTCAGAAGTGCAAATGTCCCCAAGTCTCAGTTCACCCTAAAAAAGCCACAACCTGGATTAAGGTGGTCCACCTCATTAGCAAGCAATGAGATACAGAAGGTGCTGGGGGGGGGGGAGGTCTTAAAAAGGGTACGGGGAATCTCTCTCTCTCTGAAGTCACTCTCCCTTTGCATTCCTGTGTTCCAAATGTACAGAGCACAGTAGGCAGAACATGACACACGAACTGGGTAGGTTCACACAACCACGGAGGGTCGCACCCTCCCCACTCCTTGCGTGGCGATGGGACTAGCACCGTTACCCAGGTTAAGAAGCCGCCCAGAACCTCTGGCAACAAACAGCCCTTTCTGGCTTTGTGGGATATGACAAGCCATTCCTCCAAGGAGAATTGCGCTCATTCCCCCAGTGTATGTGGAGCTTGTGGGAAATAACCCATCCCCTTCTTTTCCTCTGTGATGGTGTGAACCTGGCCTGCCAGCCACAAGCGCTGTCACAAGGACACCCCACCTCAAACTCCTGGGAGGAGAGCACAAACTATAGTAAATAAAATAGATACATCAGGCTCGGATGGTGAGTCTGTGGTCTTATTTTAAGGCTATCAAAGGATGGGCGACCTCTTCCAACTAACACCCGGCAGTTCAATGAACTGATTTGCCAGCTGGGTCTTTGCCTGGTTTCGTTTCCTTCCATTTGCTATCCAGGGAACTCAGAGAAGTTTGAACCTAGCAACACAAATGCAAGCGATTAAGCATGCATGGTTTCTCATGCGGCACTTCCATCGATCCTGATGGCGAGCCATTATCCCCAATTCTGCCACCGTCTGAACTTCTTCCCTGATGGATCATCCAAAATGCATCTGAAGGTCCTCAGACTAGACTCTCTTTCCTCCAACACCCTTTCCCCTGATCTTTTTGGAGTTCTGGACATTAGCATCTCCTCATTGGAAGAAAAACAGAAATGCCAACATTTGCTTGGCTAGTCTTGCTCTCTAGTTTTTCTTCCCCCTCCCTCTCCCGAAATGTGAGCATTAACATTCATCCAGTAAATGTGAACATCATAAAGGCATAAGAAAAAGGGAGATATTCTAATGCTGCAATCTGGCTAGCTGGAGACGGGAAATTATTTTTCAAGAGAGTTGAAGGACATCTCCCTAGCTCTTGTGTTTGCCCCAAATGCTTAACAAACCCAGGAAAAGCATCCCCGCCCCACGAATATGCAAAAGTCTTGGTGCAGCTTGATGATTTAAAACATCCTAATCCAGTTACTCAAGCCAGGGTGTTCCCTAGAAGCAAAAATGTCAATATGGGGACTGTCCTCCTTTGGGCACCCCATGAGAGGGCCAGAGTCCCTGGAGAAGGCCGTCATGCCGGGGAACGTCAGGGGCAGCAGGAGAAGAGGAAGAGCGCCTGTGAAATGGATAGACTCCACCAAGGAGGGCACACCTTGAGTTTGCGAGAGCTGAGCCGGGCTGTTCGGGACGGCACTTTTTGGAGGGCCTTCAGTCATGGGGCTGTCACAGGTCAGAAGCAACTGGACAATGCTTCACAGCAACTATAATCCAGTGGCGAAACATCACAGGGGGCTAAAGCACTTGGATCACGTTCCGGCCGTTAATAGCCGGTTGCGTTCAGCTAATACGCAGCATCTGCTCTCCAGAGATCACTGCCCTTGATCACTTCAGCTGCCTGGACTAATAACCATTTTGGTACCCTCTGGTTTTTTCGTCCCCCTTGAAAGCATCTGAGCCTGTGGACGTCCTGTCATCTTGTGACAGTGAGTTCCACTGGTTTATACAATGCACCATGTAGAGAAAGACTTCCTCTGCTTGAACCTGGCCTGTAAGAACCGAAGAGAAGCCATGCTGTATCAGACCAAGCGTCCATCTAATCCAGCGCTCTGCACACACAGTGGCAGGGATCAGGTCCAGGTATCTTAGCCCAGTTCCACGGATGGGGCAGAAGGGACCCAAACTTTTACAACTGTGCTGCAGGCTTCCACAGGTAAAGCGGGTCTCTCAGTTGCACCTGTGGGTTTTGTCTGCAAGGACGTAAATTGGGCTTCTTCAAGGGGGGGGGGGGGGGCTGATGCCTGGGGAAGATGGGAGCTGTAGTCCAACACAACAGAAGGTCAAGGCAAGGTGGCTTAATTCAGGATAAAGGGATCAG